GGACCAAAGACACTTATTTCCTATAAATATTTCTGCATGAAGTAACAGGAAGAATTGATAGCAAACAGTATGTGTTCTTTAATATTGAATTTATGACATTCCTTTTCTTATCATTCATAAGGTATGGTGATACTAAATACTTGACAATTTTGGTGAAAAATAATGCTGGAATTTGGACCAAATGAGCAATTGTAAATATACACAAAGCAGGAAAATGTATAGAGGAATAGGAAAGCAATGTTAAATAAAATAAAGAATCACTTGATGGAAGGTATTTTATTACAAAGATGACCTTAGGTTGTTAAAGTATGACAAATGTTCTGGAATCTGTGGTCCTAATCTCTGCAGAGTCTTGAAAGTATATGATCCATAGATCATATACTGGACTATCAATGACCTAAATAAAAAGGTGATAGTGTCAATATGAAAATTACATTTTTGAAAGAAGACTATTATTAGAAATTATGAATGGCAATTTTTCTCCAGTAGCTATACCTACCAACAGGAATATCAGAGACAAGCTGTCCTGGCTGCACTACCTGATAATACTCAAGGCACAGCCCAGGGGCACTCAGAGTTCTAATGAAGGTCAGTGTCAATGGTTGCTCAATGATTCACTTAGCCTCTTTCCAATTTTGAAGTCATCTTAGATCATAATCAAACTGATCATTTCCTCATATCTTGATACTCAACAAATCTGTTCATTGGCCTTTTTGCTTGTCTAACTGGAGTGGAAAACGCAGAGTGATACAGTATCTTGTGCAATTGAGTAAGGGGACCTCTAGCAGCTTAAGTTAACCAATCTTCTGAGGTCCACACTTCTGAAGAATTTTGAGACTCAATTGTTACATTTCTAACATTAAATGCCAACAAATAGGGTGAAATCAGTTTAATCTCATGAATTAAAATTAGTTAACCCAATTCTAAAGTCTATAGCTTGCAGCTATGTGTAACTGGGGTTTCAACACCTACATAGGGTATGTTTTGCTATGTGACAATAATGCATGTGTAATTGTGTAACCATTTATTTATTACGGTAGCTTTGGCTTACAACACGGTATGTGATTTAGGTCTGTAGGGTCGCACCTTTTCAGATGTATGTTACCACACCACACCCACCACCAAAGCCCCAATATGCCTTCACTCCAGACCATGGGGACCTATCCCCTAGATCCCCACCCCCATTCTCTCCCTCTGGTAGCCTCAATTCTGCAGTCATTTTGTTCTATTTTATGTATTTTTACATCATTTTTCATTTTTTGCACAATGTATGCATTTTCATCTTGGTTATATTCCACATACAATTTCCACCCCCCTTATTTTGACCCTAGGTTTACAGCAGCACTATTTACAATAGCTAAGCTATGGTAACAATCCAAATCCCCAAAAATAGATAACTGGATCAAGAAGATGTGCTCATTAGTGCATCAGCTTGGTCATGGTGGTATTTTCCATCTTTCTATGTCTCATTCCCCTTCCCCTCACTCTTGCTTCCCAGGGATTCTGTCTCCTTATAATGCATTAGCATGCCAGTCTTGCTTAGCTTGAAGCATTTAAGGGAACCTGAGCTAAGTAGCTTAGATCTACATTTTCTGGGGTCTCCTGCTGGGTGTATTCTGGAGAGGTTTGGCAAAATGGAAGGATCCAATGGGATAGGAAGAGGAGAAGGGAGAAGCCAAGTTACCCTTCCCTCCCACTTCAGGGGTCCCCTCAGGTAGTGTTCCATGTCTTCCTCAAGCCCTGGAGTGGAACTAATTCCTGCATTGCTCATCTCTAAGCTGCCTCAGTGTCCCCTTTTACTTTCATAGCCAGTTTTTATTATTATCATCAATATCAAAGTTTCTCTATCCAGCCCCCTGGCATGGGTTCTTTTTCCCCTGTGCAGACCCTGAGTAATAAAACACACAGGAATAAAGAGGCTGACTTTATTTACCTGTGTGCAAGCTATGGCTGAAATTCATTTTTTACCTCCATAAGATTTTATATTTATACAATTTTATATTTCTAAAATCAATTGCACTAGAAAATTGGACTTTAACTTCTTCGAGGGAAATGACCCTAAGAAGTTCTCTGGGTTTTTATACAAGAAAGCAAATGATTATTTTAGCATTTCTAATGACATTTGATATTTAAGATGAATAAGTCTTTCCTAGAGGTTATATTTCCAAGTTAATAAGAGGGCAAGAACTCCAGTCACCTAGGAACTGTCTCTCTCCTGTCTTTGCAGTGGCTAAGAGAGATCTGACTGTGGTGCTGGCCTGGCAGGTGTAAATTGGTAGTCTAAGAGTGGAAATGCTATTGTTTGTACATGGGACTCAGATTCCATTTGCTTGTGTGTCTCCCATGGTATGTATGGGACACGTGCAAGCACCCCCTCATCTGCATTGAGAGTTGCTATTGAGAGTTGGCATATTTTTCTCCTGCAAGGTTCACAGTATTTCTCCAATGGACCCCCAAGAGATCTGCATTTATAGCAAGTGCTCTGCTCAGTAATGATTTTGGGGATCTCCTTTGATAACACATCCTGGGTATAAAGCAAACATGATGGCAAGAAAAAAAAGCCTCTAGGCTGGAGATGTGTGCAGGCAGCCTTTCCTCTGAATGTGGGAGCAGAGCCCTCGCTTCCGTACAAATGGGAATACAGCCGGCATGTGAGCCCCCATTCATGGCCTGCCAGCAGTCAGAGCAGCGGGAGAGAATTGTGAAAGGGAGCTGGAGTGCCAGGAATCTTTGGAATGATTACTTTTCTCTTGCCAGGTTTCCCCCACCCCCTTATGCCCTGTAAAACTAAACTTTGTAATTCCCTGAACTGTTTCACAGCCAATGTCTACACCACAGACTCAACGCTGCCGCCTACATTGCAAAGGGGTCCTGTGTCACCCGTGAGCCACCTTGGGGCCACAGAATACCTGGATCATCCTAGTAGGATCGTTCTCCACCCCAAACTGTTCAGACAGCCTTTTTCCAAGGCCCTCAATGTAGATCTTTCTCAAATGTGTCAGCTTAGAAAGTGGAACTGAGGTCAGGGGAGGCCTGTGAGCTTTGGAAGAAGCACTTAGCATGACTTTAGGAAACGTAGATTACCTAGATTTAAGGTCAGCTCCAGAAATAAACTTTCTATCCAGAAACCAATGGTAAGCAGAACAAACATCGGGAGCAAGGCTTTGTTATGTCAGGTGGCCTCCTGGTCATATGAGAGCCTCCTCTTTCTCCTTGATGTCCTGGGCCCCTTAGCTCAGTATCTAAGCTCCCAATTTGCCAGGTAAATTCTCCATAATGTTGTTACTAAACTTGGTCTCTAATTAATCTGGTTAATTTGTTTGCTCGCCCAGTCCAAGGAGAACCCAGAGGGGTGGAGGAATTTTCCTCCACGCCCCATATCCTCATCATGAGACTTCAAGTCTCAGCTGTCCTGGTTTTTCCTACCACCTACGGAAGATAAAACCACAAAATCCAGTGGAAGTTGTTTGGGACTTCTGGATGTCAGAGGATATCCTCCTACAGACCACCAGACTGTCTAATGCACAAGAACTCCACCTACATGATAAGCAGCAGCGGATTCTTGGGCGGAAGCAGCACTGACATACAGAGTATACACACTGGTTTGGCTGGAGACCTTCTCACACTACGGAAATACTTCTCCATGAGTGGGAACTAATGGTGTCTCCAAATATCCTGAACTGTCCATGCCAGGACCCCTCCCCAGATCTTCTCCTGGTCCCCAAGCTTATGGAATAGCCACTACCTGTCATGAGGTCTCCTGTCATAGCTCAATCTGTTCTGATCAGCAGTTGTCATAACAATGATAAAATATTTTTAATGTCACATATGCAGAGAAAGCATAAGATATTTAAAATTATGGTGAGCTGTTTCACCTCAGAAGGACCAGAATCACTGGGAATTGGAGTCTACCTAGTCTGCTCTTCCAAGCTGCCAAAAGATGCTACAGGTTCCAAATCATCTACTCTTTGATCAGTTGAGATGAGGATTTTCGAGCTTCTGCACCAGCACTTTTGCACACACCTAGACTCCTACCCCAGGGACCCTTCATGGATGTCTCAGGGCACCTGTCCTGCATGGGTGCTCTGCAGCTCCCAAGGATGCACAGTAACATGGCAGCCAGAGAGGCCAGAGCCTCGCACAGTATCTACCCCACTCCAGCTGTGCCTCCCGACATTTACATGACAGCTTCTCTGCTCCCAGAGATGAATCACAGAAAATTAGAGATGGGAAAGACCTATTAGGTCATTTAATCTGCACTCCTGCCAGCTCACGATCACTCCCCTCTGCTCCATTTCCTAGTGCATCATCCAGTCGGTTTAAAATAGCACGGGGTACAGAGCACGCTGTTTTCATGCCTCTTCACTGAGAATTATCTCTCTAGCACATCCAGCCAAATGCTCAATATTTGATCTTTATTTACTCTACTTCTGTGTACAGTAATATCACTTGCCCCAACCCAAAATAAAAAGCTTCTGAGAATAATAAGGAAGTGGGGACTCTTTCTTGGTGAGAAAATACCAGTTTCAGGAAAAGCAAAGGACTTGGCGGAGCAAAGAGAAATGATAAGCAGCATCTCTGTCACCTCGTTTCAACTTCTTTTATTTATACACGTACCCAGCATTATTCAGTTCTGCTTTCTGTAACAATAGCTAGAACAATGACTAAGCAGTGTCCTCAGTTTTGGTTTCCCTGTTTACTTCTGTTTCAATTTTTATTTTGATTATTCAGTTCCTTGATTTTCTATATTGTATTTAAGATCCCAGCTCATCATTGAGAGTCAAATAAAGACTGTTGTAAGTATTTAAATGGTTTGTCTAGCCTTTTCCTACACTTTCTTTGTCTTTTAATTTTATCTAAACATAAGAACAAAAACAGTAAGCTTAGCACAGCCTTTCTGGATAGTCTTATCTAAGAAAAATGTATGTTTTCCTTTATGTATGCCCAAGCAAAAGACCTTCATAAGGACACCATCCAAGAATGCTTGGGGGCTGGCTTACCTTAATTTGACCTTTTAAGCAAGGCTCACTGCACACAGACCGCACCACTCCACTCTTGTTCATCTGGATTTTATAATCATCGATGTTCAACACCCCTTCATGCCAGGTTCCAACATGGACATAGTCGTAGCGATTAGCATCAGTGTATTGCAGATTCATGATATCATACCTACAAAGAAAACAACGTGTCTTGGAGACTATGGATTTGATGCGGACATGACAAAGAAATCTGATAAGTAGATAATACTGAAGAGAAGGGAGGTAACACCAGACACTGTCATTACTTTAGTTCTAATGCTTCCCCTGATTTTCCAAAATGAATATCCCCCTCTTCAGTCTCTGTACTGTCCATATCTGCTAAGGAATGTATTACCGTTATACTTTTCTCTCTGCCTGTTTTCCAAAAAATAACTGTGTGCACTGAGTGGAGGACCATTGCCTTCGAATCACTATTCACTAAGTTATTCTTTGAACAAGTAATAATTCTTGAGAACATTTGTTTCTTTTTTTTAAGATTTTATTTATTTATTTATACAAGAACTGGGGTACAGGCCAGATGCGCAGGAGGGTGAGAGGATTCACCAGAGTGGGGAACAGAACAGGCAGATTGATGAAATACACTTCTGAGGGGAGCAGCGGGCGAGACAGGAGAGGTCTGCCATGCCATGTGGGACCCTTGCCGGCCGGTGGGGATCAAACCGGTGCTGCAGAGGCTGTGGACAGCTTCACAGCTTGGTGCTCAATCGCCTGTGCCACCAGGGGAGGCCAGAGAACATTTGTTTCTTAACCCAATGACTTTTATTCCAAATTTCCTTTTCACATTCAGGTACCATGTTCTAGATTAAAAGAGGTGAGTTTTACCAAGTCTAAAGCCATTTTTTTAGGTGCTAATAGAGCAAGTAATCTGAGAAATGAATTCTTAACTAGCAAGGATGTTGGGGATTTAACATCTTGATCACTGACATTTAAACTGGTCTCTTCCCTGATTAGGAGAAACATTTTTTTTTTCTTTAATCCAAATAATCGGTATCAGTTACTTCAGTAATTTCAAATGCCACAAGGCTGCAGATGGCAACATCTACATAGAGAAATCTTCATTGCAGCCAGGTTGTATTCTGGGGCTCAGGTCTCATCATTTTTCAATGTAATAGAGTGTGTTCTCCAATACAGGGAAAGAACACAGAACTTGAATTAGATTGTGTAAACTGCAATCTCTTCTAGCATTTTGACAGATTTTGTTACTCAGGAATGCCACTAACTTCTTTAAAACTTATGATTTACTATTCAAAGGCATGTAAAAAACCTGTTTCACAAATGGGAAAAACACATGTGGAAGGCACGCCACTTTCACTATATAATTCAGGTATTTATGATAACGATGCCTTAAAATACTCCGGTTATTTCCACTACTGCAGGAAAAACGGGGAACACCTGTGTTGGCATAGCCTTTAGTATTGGAAAGGCTCTGGAATTCTTCAATCTTCTTTCCATATTGCTATTTACCACAAGTAAACTATTACTCATGTGGCAGTTTCCAAAAGACTGTATGTCTTCCTCTCCCTTACTGGCTCTGCAAAGTGGGACCTTTTCTGCAGTCTCTGTGCCGAGTTCTCACCTCCTGTGGTAGAATAGAGTCTTATTCCTTTTGCTTGACCCAAATAAATAGACGGCAATTAACTAACATATACACCGTTTCCTGAATGTTCTTCCTCCCACACTACCAACACACCCCTAACTAATTCATCCTGGTATTCTTTCTCCCTACACCTGATTCAAACTCAGAATCCTCAGCCCAACACTCCAGGAAGTAACTACCAATCCATCTTAGCGGACAGCTGAAACCTATTGACTATCTCTGGCCTGGTTCTTTGTCTAGACAATATTATCCTTTATTAGCTTGCTTGCCTGTTTTTAATGTACACATCATTCTGTCACGCATACAGTAATTAGTGGGTTCTCCAAATTCAGATTTCGGTAATTTCTATGAATAGCTGTCCCCTATAGGAAAGGGGACTCTGCAGAGAGCAAAGATGTTTTCTCCCTAATTTGCCAGGCGAACAAAACTCACCTAAAGTAAAAGGAGAGAATGGCATACCTGGAGTACCTGATTCATCTCTTTGCTGTTTTGACTTCGACTAAGAGGGCTCTTAATTCCCTTTGATGCTGAGATGCCTGAGAATGTTCTTCCGTGTAACTGAAGTGGTATCCAAATGGATATTCCCTGTGGGCTGATCAAGGACACTAATCTACACCTCCAATTTTTTCCATTTAAAATTCATTAAGGTTATAGAACCTGCTGTGAATATTCAGTACAAGCAGTTTCCATTTTCATTTCCTTCAATGTGTATGTTTTACTACATACTATTAGTAAAGCTCTCCATAGACTTTCAATGAAAGCTTAGTAGGCTTTAGAATATCTTCTTCCTATAAATCAGTTTCCTAAGACTTTTATTTCAATGTTCTCATTTGCTCTTCAATAAGAGAAATAAGTTCACATTTCATTAGCATTCAAAAAATGAAAAATCCACAACATTTTGGTTTAAAAACAATTTTCTTAAAAGTCCCAAAATATGGAGGGAAAAAAATACTGAGATACTGTGGGGGAAGGTAAAAAGTATCAGGCTTTTCTGCCCTCCTGCCATTAGGATTGATAATGGAACCCTGTGGTCCCAAATGCCTGCCTGATGGTGGGCACCTGGAGTAGGGTGTGGGCATACATAGGTGGGTACACCTGGGCTAAGACTGGGCTTATAAGGGCGGAGTCACGGGGACACCAGTAGAAAGAGAAGCAAAGAGAACCAGAGAATGCTGGAGAGCCCAGAAAGAGTAAAGACTTGCTGAGGGTTGGGAGGCCTGCCAGCCTCCCATCTACCCTGCCCCCTGCCAGCACCCCTGCCTGCTGTGTACCCAGTAAAATCCCAATAAAAGCCTGAAAAGCCACTGAGGGCTCCAGGACTCCTCCTTTGCGCCGTCTGCTCAGATCATAGAGATCTTGCCCTGTGTCCTTCTGCCCCTACAGATACCAAGGGGGAAATACTGACTTGCTAGAAACAGGCCTTCCCGGCGCTGTGCATGTCAATGAGCACACTCTCTTCTCTGTGTCCTGGGCCCCTTTCTGGCATACTGGCATTTATTTGGAAATCCTCATGGAATAAATTACAACTTTACAGCATCTTCTCAATATATTCAATCTATGTTGCATGACAACAAATGAAAATAATTACAAGAGGGACCAAAAGCAAGGATCATGTATGAATCAGATGGAAGCAGGGAGAGTTTGTTTGAAACAGAAGCTGAACATGGATTAAGCCAACCAATTTCCAAGAAGAGGAAATGATCCCTAAAAAGAGACCTAGGGGGAAGGTTCATGACTTAAATATGTAATTAAAGATGGAGGAGAAATTGGCTCGGATTGCCTATATTTTGCGTAACTTACAAATAGAGGAGCAGGAGGGACCCCCCACATATGGAGTGTGTAAAGCACATCTGTGCTAGACACATAGTGTGCATTGTCCTGCAGTATCTTGAAGGCAATTTTTTATTCCCAACCCCATTGTAGAGTAAATGAAGATTGCTCAGGTTTTTGTGCTGTTGGCCTCTGAGGCTATCACCTGCGGCCTTGAGTGCAGCAGGTGCTTGGAAGCATGGACTCAAGGTACACATGCCTGATGGTGGACACCTGGAGTATGGTGTGGGTATGCGTAAGTGGGCACACCTGAACAGAGAGAATGAGCACATAAGGGCGGCATCACAGAGGGTGGTGCGGCAGAAGACCATGTGTGGCAGAGTGCGGTGAAGAATGACTACGAGAGGAAGAGACCACAAAAAAACGCCAGAATGCCCAGAGAGAGTAAAGTTTCACAAGGGGCTGGGAGGCCTGCCAGCCTTCCATACCCCCTGCCAGGCTCTCACCCCGCCCCCTGCCTGCCCTATGCCTGGTTACCGCACTACAAGTGGCATAGAAAGATCGTTAAAAGTCTGAAAAAGCCACTGAGGGTTCCAGGACTCTCCTTTACTTATCTGCCTGGATCCATACAGAGGCTGTTCTGTGCGTTCCTGCCATCCTTTTCAGAGACTAGTTTCCAGTGAGATCTGGGATTGGCACCAAGGCTTAGAGGAGAGTGGTCATTGTTCTGAATCTCAGGCCCACTGGTGCACCTGATTCCATTTCTTAAGGTGTTAACAGCACTGTGAAACTCCACACACCCAGGCCCTGGATCATTCTATTCATCCCACTCGCATTTCAACCTAATTCTGCTTCCACTTACTTGGCAGCTGTAGGGTAAGGTAAAATGTCAGGCTTTTCTGCCCTCCCGCCATCAGGATAGATGATGAATCCTTGAGGTCCTGAATGCATGCCTGATGGCGGGCACCTGGAAAAGGGTGTGGGCATAGGTAGATGAGATTCACCTGGGCTGAGACTGTGCTTTTAAGGGCGGCGTCACGGGGATGCCAGCAGCAGCAGAAGCCAAGAAGCCGAAGAGAAGTTGAGAGAGAAGCCAAGCAGAAGCTGAGAGAAGGCCGGAGAGCCCAGATAGTGAGGATTTGCTGGGGGCTGGGAGGCCTGCCAGCCTCCTGGCCCCCCTAGCACCCCTGCCTGCCGTATGCCTGGTAATCCCAATAAAAAACCTGCAAAAGCCACTGAGGACTCTGACTCCTCCTTTACCCGGTCTGCATGGGATCAGAAAACCTGCACCGTGTCTATTCCTGACTTTACAGCAGCTTAGAAAGAACTGGACAAATTCCTCATTTTAATTGCTAACAATTGCTTATATCATTTGTCCTTTCTAAAATTGTTGGTTTTAAATAGAGAATCTACTTAGGCCCCACAGGGATTCTCTAAACACATAATTTTAAGCTTAATGAAGGGAAGAAATATGTAGAGAATTATTCAGGGTCCAATAATCTGTTACTGTACCTTTGAAATGACATTAAGAGGGTTGCCTGTAACTTTGCCTAATTTTAGGATTACCAAAGGCAGTGTGATTGGGAAAAACATTACAAGTCTCAGATTCAGAAAGCCCTGCCTCTGCCACCTACTCTCGGTGTGACTTTAGGTGAGTGTCTTACTTTCTTTGGTGCTCAGATTTATCATCCATAAAAGAAGGACAACAATATGCTCATAGCAGTGAAGATCAAATGATCAGATGCTTCATTTTAGCACAATATATGCTTTCCTAAAAAGTTCTCATTCTGAAAAATCATACAATGTAAGATGACAGGGATTATGAGGGGGAGAAATATTGTGAACCTACAACTCAGCTGCCCAGCTGAGGGCCTTTTTCTTTCTTGTTGCAGGTTTTAATTCTTCTCCCACTGTTAAGACTATCCCTTCCTAGGAAATTCTGAATGAATGAACACAATTACATATAAGTAGACTGGTGTTCTAAAAGCAAGTATTGCAGAAGTGACTTATGTAAAATGACTTGGGAAAATATATGTATATTAGTTGGGTTTAATTTTCTGTTGCTTGTTGATTAAATCTTTAAACCCAAAGTGATCCAATTATAGAAAGAAAATTCTTTCTTGTTTCAAGAGACAGAAGTTAGCAAGAATAAAAGTTAGCCTAAGAAAGATGGATACATATAAAGACTTGATTCTCTTCATATATTAAACTCTTTAAGCAGGTTTAATATAATATTTTACAATCAGTATGGCACTGGGGCCAAATGATCAAAAAAGATGCTGGCCAGAGGCTGGCAGCACCAGGAAGGGTCCTGGTGGTCAGAAGTGATCCGTTTCTTGGACTGGCAGCGAGGTTGTAGAGTAAATGAACCAGTCAGGTTTTTATGCCACTGGCCTCTGTGACTATCACCTGTGGCCTTGAATCAGAAGGCTCTTGGGAGGGAGGGCATGGGGCACACATGGCTGATTGTGGACAGCTGGAGAATGATGTGGGCATACATGAGTGAGCAACCTGAGCCTAGAGGCTGAGGCTATAAGGGCAGCCTCACACAGAGACAGGGAAACAGTGACGTTGGAGAGGCTATGACAGAATAAGGGATGGCTGCAAGAGGAAGAGAACATGAGAGAATGTCAGAGAAAGCCCAGAGAAAAGAGTGCACAAAGATTTGCAGGAGGCTTTAGTTGTCTCCCTGCTGGATTGTTTCCCTGCATGCTATTAAAAGACCTGTCTGGATGATGCCAAATGCTCCAAGGCTCTCTTTTAAGCTGCCCAAACCCAAGATGAAACTACCTGGCTTGGGATGGTTGCAAAACAGAGGTCCCTGGCATTCTAGGGGAGAGCCAGGGAGACAGCCCAGCAAGGGATGGCACAAGCAGGATGCAGGATTATGGGTAGTTACTAAGCATTCTAACATTTCAAAGACTGCATGGTCTTTTGTAATTTTCATCTTGCATTAGCCGTGGCCTTTCAACTATCTAGTTGAATTTATCCTCATGACACCCAAAAACCAAGGAAGCAAATGCAGCAAGAATTTCTATTTGTCTGGCTCAGACAGGAGCACAAGGTTATTCTGACCCAATATGGGAAAAGACTGTGTTACCTTCCAGGAGCATCCCCCTTCTCATCAAACCACACCTCCTCTCCAGACACGCCGATGAATGTGGATTTGATGAGGAAATCCAGGAGTTTCCTGCCATCAATGGGCTTCATGGCATCGCAGAGGCCCACGTGGCCTGGGCACAGGGCGTGGTGCATGTTCTGTAGCCCATGCGCCATGGCATAAATGGCATTGATGACAAACCCCATCTTACTGTCTTGGACATAGTTTTCTTCCAAGCTTTCGTTGCCTGTAACATAAAAACGGAACATTCTTGAAGTTGCAATAATGAAGTCTGGGCCTCTATATTTAAGTCCCAAGTGCTTTTCAGGGCTTGCAGAGGAAGGAAGAAACAAAGTAATTGGCAATAATCAAGGCAACTTATTCAAACTTTGTACTTGTTGACAAATTCTGGAGTTTTAGTATAGTCTCTCTGTGAATATTTATACAATTTTATTTTCTGTATCCAATAATGGTCTTATAACATATAAGACCATATAAAACAAACTCCATAGAGGCAAAAAATACTTTCAAACATTGCAAGGAAATCCTCAAGGGGCAATGGAAATAACTTATGAGTAACCTCTTGGTTCTTAGAGACATATTAAGTCTCCATGTATCATAGGGCTGGATTTCTTAAACTTCCTACATATTCCTAAAAAACAATTTTGATAGCCACTATGATAAATCCACAATCTATAGTAAATAAGTGTATGCATTATATAACCCCTGATATTTTCTTTAGGTAATTTCACTAATTTTATCATCTTTAGGACCACAAAAACCCAAAGTAGAAGAACTAGGTAGTATGACGCTATTCTTATATATGGTTGGTGGTACAGAAATATTTAGGGCCCCCCCGGTGGCGCAGTGGGTTAAGTGCAGTGCTGTGAAGCTGTCCACAACCTCTGCAGCTCAGGTTTGATTCCAGGCCAGCCAGGGAGATACCCACATGGTGCGGCAGACCTCTCCTCTCTCACCCGCTGCTCCCCTCAGCAGTGTTTTCAGTCCATCTTCCTGTTCTGCTCCCCACTCTGTCTCTGGTGAATTTTCTCACCCTCCCATGCCTCTGGCCTGTGCCCCAGTTCTTGTATAAATAAAATAAATCTTTAAAAAAAAAGAAATATTTAAGTCAGATATACTTACTAGAAACTCAGGTAAAATGTTTCTTGATAGGAGACTGCTAGTAAACATTTAATCATTTCTACTTATGTCACCAGCGATTAAAATTTCCCCCATTGATAAGCATTTCACAAGACAGCATTGCATTAGGAATAAGCCCCACATAAGATTTATAAAATTTAAAAATCATACATGGATGAGGAATTTGGCCACCAACTGCATTTTCTGAAATCAAGGTAACAGATTGGGAAAACAATTTGAAGCACACCACTGGCATTAATCACAGAGTTTGAACTTTGTTCTAGAAATTTACTGCTCTGCAGTAGAATTTCCCTCCCTCCCCTGACAGAGAGTGAGGAGTCTCTAGGATGTTTACTGAAGTACCAGAAGTTGAGAAAGTTGACAAGTTCAGTCATTTAAAGGGTTGAGAATAACAGGGTCCTTGCACCACCCCAGACATATCCCAGACTAAATAGGTCAATAGATAATAAGCTCCTCGGTGGAGAGTGGTACAGAATATGTAGGAAGTTAAAGAAGTTGGAGTGTTTAGAAGACAGGGTGGTGACTTTTGACATTCATATTGAGCTTGGGCTTCAATAAAAAAAATTTTCAAAGAGTTTTATTTAACTGATAATATATTTAGCTATAGCTGAAAATATGAGAAAGATACATGCTTACCTACTCTAAAAGTAAGATGCAAGAAACCCAGGCCAGGCAGAAGGGGAAAATTCAATTTTAACCCATTTTTAAGCATTGCTAAATGGGAAATAATTAAAATTTTTATTTGCTAAAGTAATATTTTCTGAATTGAAATGACATTTTCTAAGAGGAAACAAGAAGAGAGACTCAAGGGGCATTTTGATCTTTATAAAGTTTGGCTTGTGGCTTCTCCCTGAGATGGTTCCAGATGCGCATAGCTGTCTCTGTGACAAGATGTACTGGGAATAATCGATTAATAGGGACCTGTCACCAAACAAGCTCATCCTGTCAGTTATTTGTCACACAGAGTCAGCAGGCCGGGCACCTGTTTTCAAGGAATATTTGCAACTCATACTCCTTTCTAAAACAAATGCAAACAGCATGTGTGTGTAAATCTGAAATGAGCACCACTCTTTCCCTACCCTGCCAGAGCACGGGGTCTGCACACAAATAGGCTGCCACCATAAGAACTATCCCTTCAGCTGCAGCCCAGGGCCTGTGAACTAGCATTTGGGAAGGTGTAACACTGAGTCAGAAAATCATCCGGTCTTTACAGGATCATTTTATTTGCCATAGCAACTCTCCCAGATAATGTTGCCATGATCTTACAATCTAAAAAAAAAAAAAAAAAACAACACAAAACAAAACAAAAACAAAAAAAAGCAAAACAAAACGCAGTATGTTACAGATTTTCCTGTCCTGCAAAGATCCTGTATTTCCACAATCAGTGAATAGAGAATCCAAACTAATAATATTGTCACTTGGTGGGAAGGTGAAAATACTGTGATTCCCTGGAGTTTGGTGCCTTTCATAACACTAGTCTTAGAGTTATTAGTGAGAAGGGGATTTTATGATTCATTTTCTGCAGTGCGTTAACTGTTATAGACCGCTAGGGTATCATTAAGCCGTTACCTTTTCTAATATACTAAATGGAATCAAATAATTGTCGTTGACTGTGTTTATTTACCTTCAAAAGAATACCTGCCTAACGACTTCACAGTGGATTGGGAAAATAGCTACCTTGATTCTAAACAGTAATCTTGTTCTTATTGCCAAAGCAAAACAAGGACTAGAAATTGCTGCTTGAGTGCAGTGGCACAGAGGACTCCACGGCGCCGGGACAGACAGCGTGCCTTGTGAGAACAGAAATGCAGAGGTTGGAGGAGGCCTGGAACTCTCTCCAAGTGGTATGGACGATGCACATGAACACCTGGGAGCTAGAGGTAGTCCTGCTGTAATATAGGAACGATACATTTCCAACAAGCTGTGGAACTTTGACAAGGGTCTGGATATCCTGGGCTCTCAGTTTTCAATCAAAAAATACCAAAAGTATCACTCTCTATACCGAAGGTTAACTCTCTGATGATCTCCTTCCCTCTAATCTTTAATCCCTCTCTTCTCCACATTTACATTTATTACTACTCAGCAAAGCTACTCATTATCATCTCTTTAAGTTTTTATGAGATGGGTTCTAGCATCCCCATTTAGCAATGAAAAGACTAAAGCTCAGACAAGTTAAATCACATGTGAGGAGAAATGCCCCCATCCCTTCATTTCATGCTCCTTTGTGAAGAGAATAATATTGGGTAACACCTCAGGCCAATTGCCTTACCTAATAGGAAGGCTGATGACTCTTCTTGCTGGGTTACTGAGCATGAGAATCTGAGTATGCTCTGCTCAGCTCCTTTCTCTCATCTGCAGCCGGTGCTTGGCAGTACTAAAGGTCCTGGTTGCTTCTGTGGCCCACAGTCAAGGTGGGCAGTAGTTAGACAGCTGTGCCAGTTGGCTGGACAAGTTAAGCTCCTAGTTCTGGGGTCAAATATTGAAGTCTGTTGTAGCCACCTAGTCCTGGGTATTGTAACTTTCCACTGCCTCTTATTATCTGACAGCATAATATATTCCATACATAATTTGATACATTATCAATTCAGATCAAAAGAGAAAGGACTGTCCTTATTTTATACTGTTAACATATCAAGTAAGGAAAATGAAATATTCCTTTAAATTACCCAAGTGTTAGATTAATTGAAGATTAATCAGGTCACTTTTTAAAATAATGACTTCAAAGACTAAAGTGCCCTCAATTTTTCTTGAAGGTCTAGGCTGCTAAATTTCTTTATGCTTTCCCTGGGGGAATTTGTATTAAGATTTGGAACAATAAAACCTTGTCCATGCTGGAGTCTGGGAGCTGTGAACTTTTTGCCCTCTGATTCTGTATTTTCCTTTCTCTATGAAAGGTTTTCTCTGTTCATATCACAGAAAAATATGACCCTGCCATTATTTTCTATTCAGTTTATTAAAATGTAAATTAACTCCTGTGTAGGAAGGAAGAGAAGAAAGGAAGGAGCATTTAATCGAGCATATGTTATTATCACTGTTATTGTTAGTTGAATTTCTATTGCTTAAACCCACCTGGTCTTAGCATATGTGAACAATACAGAAATTTTTCTAACTACATCATTACGATCTATTGTTAGGAGAGAAATCCTTCAGTTGCATGACACATGAACAGCAGACTCCCTGCAAATTGATGCTAATGTATAGTAAACCTTCAATTCCCTGAGAACACAATTGCATTTTAGCTAATTCATAATTCGAAAAATTATGGTGTATGTGAAAACAAATGAAGACAATCGCTGGTGTGTGTAAATGATGTTAAGGATCAATTAGTAACACTTAGTTGAACTGTGGGGCTCTTTGTTTCTCTAAAGAGAGAAACCAAGGACAGCTTGTCATGTGCCTTTGCTTTTGTTATTGATCTGGCACAAAACAGTGTCATGGAGTTAGAAACCACTCCCCTTGGAGTAGCTAATCTTTGCAGGTCTGCAGTAAGCATTTGGCAAGTCATCATAAAGATGGAGTATGTTGCAGAAGGCTTGCTACTTTAGCCAATGTGGGAAGTTAGACTGTTGTTAAAATTCATCAGGAATCAACTCCCTTCTCAACAACCTGCTGGGCTGGAGTCACTGCCAAGTCTATTCTTCTTAGCTTCTTCCAAACTCTAAGAAGGCATATCTATGCTCAGAGCAGCACTTCTGTGTATTTATAGGTGATAGGACCCATGCTTTCTTTTAGATAGATAAGAGAGTTCTATGATGCAATGTTGTCATGATTCTTTTTGAGTTCCTGTCAATGTCTTTTTTTTTTTATTATCTCTCATTTCTTGCTGCAGTGTTTAGACTGAATTGATAGGTTAGACTGGATATTACAGAAATACAAGAGCTGTTTGCAAATAGTGACTTGTCTACAACCATTTTAAATAAGGTTAAACCTGGCATTATAGGGCCCCTTTAGTTACAAAAATAAACCATAAATGTTATATGGCATTAGCATTATAAACCTGCGTTTATGATTGACTTCTGATTAATACAATATAGTATCTGTAATGACAAAATTCTGTAGGTAAAAAAAAATCTACTTTGAGACAAA